GAGGAAGGTATTTGGAGGAAAGATGTAATATGAAAGCGATGTTTGAACAGAAGAGGAAGGAGAAGAGAATCAAAGAAGAAGAGGAATTGAAGATCCTAAGGCAAAGATCAAAGGTCTGGAAATTCATTAATAGGAAAAGAAAGAAAAAGGTGTGGAAGAAAAATAAAATTGGGGGTGCAGAATGGATGAAGTATTTTAAGGAGCTTCTCGGAGGTACAGAAGCTATGGCGGAAGACAAGGAAGGAAATAATAGCATGGGAACTGAAGAAGAAGGGCCTGTTCTAATAGGCTCACAGTTGAAGGAAGAAGAAATAGCTAAGGCGGTGAGAAGATTGAAGAAAAACAAGGCTGTAGGTGTAAATGAAATACCGCTTGAAGCTTGGCTGTATGGAGGCAGGGCAGTTAAGAAAGGTCTAATAGAGGTTCTAAATCAGGTCTGGAAGGAAGGAATCTTACCAAAGGACTGGAGGACCTCGATCATAATCCCGCTACATAAAAGAGGGGATGAAAACATAGTAGGGAATTATAGAGGTATTTCTCTTTTATGCTCGGCTTACAAAATATATGCTGAAATTATCAGAGGAAGGTTAGAGGAATCTGTCGAGCAGAAAGGCTTGCTACCAGAAAGCCAAGCCGGTTTTAGACGAGGTAGATCAACTATAGACAATATTTTTGTGCTGGATCATCTAACTCAGAAGGAAGAAAGGAAGGGTAGGAAAGGTAAAGTTTATGCACTCTTCGTGGACCTAAAGGCAGCTTTTGACAACGTTGAGAGAAGACAACTCTGGAAGATTCTTAGGGAAATGGGAATAGAAGAAGAGCTTATAGGAAAGTTAGAAAGGATTTACAAGATCACAAAGGTAGCGATTAGAACAAAGGAAGGTGTAACGAAGGAATTTTTTATAACAAAAGGAGTTTGGCAGGGCTGTGTTCTGAGCCCGCTTCTATTTAACCTGTATACTGCGGAGATTAAGAAAGCATTAGAAGTAAGAAACATAGGCGGCGTGCAATTAAGAGATGTAAGAGTGTGGTCGTTAGAGTATGCAGACGATATGGTATTTTTAGCAAAGAATAGGGATGCGATGCTAGATATGATGGATACAATTAGGAGATTTTTTAGGAAAAGAAAAATGACTTTATGTACGGATAAAACTAAGATGGTGGTGTTCAATAAGAGAGGTAGGGAAAAGGTAGAAAAATGGAAATGGGAGAATAAAAAAATCAAAGAAGTCAAGACGTTTAAATATCTAGGGTTTGTATTTAGTAGGAATGGTAAATATACAGAGCATATTAAAGAGTTGTGTAGGAAAGGCAGGATAGCGGCTAACAGGACGTGGGGGCTAGGGGAAAGAATTTGTAGGAATGATTTTATTAGAAAAGGGATGCTATTTAGATATTTAGTTAGGCGCGTGATTTTATATGAGGTGGAATTATGGGGTTGGGAAGAAAAGAAAAATTTAGAAAAGATATTGTTGGATTACGCTAGATGGGTTTTCAAATTAAAGTTATATAATGTCTAGAGAATTAGGGTTGAGCAAATTAAGGATAGGATGGGGAATTTGTTAGGAAATGCCAAAATAATCCGGGCTCATATCGGGGCGCGAAGCACTGGCGAGAACGTTCGCGAAAGGAGGGGCGGCAGCGCGACTGCGCAGCTTGTACCGCGAGGCCCACCGGGGGCCACGAGGCAACTCATCCGCACAAGACCGCGCACGAAGCGAGCACGCACAACACGTGAGACTTTCCGGAGCGAAAGCGATCCCCGTGAACGTTACTACTTCGAACGATTTGTAAGATTCGCATTCATGTTCTTATCTGTTCTATCAAATACAGTGTTCTATATTAAAAGCAAACAGAAAGATTCACTCTTTTCATGCGCACCCACCCCTGCCAAACTCCAACAAGTTATGGGCCCAGGCACGTGGCGTGGCGCGATCTGAAAAGGCGCCACGCCACGCCACGATCTAAAGAATCCTCCCGAGTAAGAGCGCAGAACATCAAGAGAAAAGAAGAAAACAATTAAGAAGGACGAAGATGGCCACATACACGAGCGGAGAAAGCCTAGACTGGGTGGACAAACTTAAGGATGCCGAAGGATACCCGATCTGGAAATTTCAGGTGGGAATAATATTAAAAGCTAACAATCTCTACGATACAGTAATGACGCGTCCCGCGGAAGATATAAAATTAACAGAGCAGTGGAATAAAAACGACGCGAAAACTCAGAAAATCCTAGTCACAACGATAGATAAGCAGCCGTTAGTACTTATCTAGCCGTTAGTATCTTAAGCTGTGAGTCGAGTCACGAAATGTGGCAAAGACTGAAAACGATATACGAAAAAGATTCGGAGCGACAAAAGTGCGCGTTAATGCAAAAATTTTTCGAAAGCAAAAGACAGCAATCCGTTGATATGACTACATATATAGCGGAACTGAAAAATCTAGCTTATCGACTGAAGGCATTGGGCGAAGAAATAAGCGATAACATGATAATCTCAAAGATACTAACAACTTTGCCTGATAGCTACAAATTTTTTGCAAGCGCATGGGAGTCCGTATCAGCGGAAGAGAGGACGTTGGCTAACCTCACGGCCAGACTTTTGGTGGAGGAGACAAGACAGAGCTGCAGGAGACAAAAATCAGTTAGCGTTTAAAGTAAAAGAAAAGAAATGCTTCAAGTGCGGTAAAAAGGGACATGTGGCTTGCTCGTGCAGGTCAGGAAATGAAACAGTAAGTAAGAACACAAAATGTTTCGCATGCCAAAAGACAGGACACATAGCAAGAAATTGCAAGGTGAAGGTAAAAACGGGATGTAAAATCTGTAAAAAGCAGAACCATTCAGAAAAGGATTGCTTTTTTAGAAAAAAACAGAAAACGAGAACAAAGAAGAAAGCAACCAAGTGTCATTTCTAATTGACGGATCTGACTCAACAGAATGGATTATCGACTCAAAGACGACTTCACATATGACGAACGACAAGAAGAAGCTGAGGGAAATTAAAGAAGTGCGCACAAACGTGGGAGTAGCGAAGAAACAAGGCTCCATGCAAGCCAAAGCGAGAGGCAAAATGGAATTTCAGAACTGCGCTCTGAACGATGTACTTTACGTCCCGGATTTAAAAAAGAACCTGCTCTCGGTAAGCGCAATTACGCAAAAGGGAGGAACAGTCCTGTTCAAAGAAGACAAGGTATTAATAACTAAAAAAACTAAAGTAATCTTCCAAGGAAAGAAAGACAGCCTGGGACTGTACACAGTAAAACTTCAGGAGAAACCACAGCAAGAAGCCCACATAGTAGAAAAAAGAAATGAAGCGCACGTGTGGCACGAAAGGCTAAGCCATCTGAGCACGGAAAAGATGAGAAAGTTATTGGAACTGTCGGAAGGTATGTCCGTAAACAAACGAGACCTCGAAGAAATGAGAAATAAATGTGAGGTCTGTATACAAGCAAAGCATTCAAGGACACCCTTTGGAGAACATAGGAAAAGAGCGAAGCAACCGCTAGAAATAATACATTCCGACGTCTGCGGCCCGATAAATCCCAGCACGTGGGACAACGAAAGGTATTTTATAACCTTCTTAGACTATTATACTAACTACACTGCAGTCTACTTAATGAAAAATAAATCAGAAGCTCTGGAAAAATTTAAGGAGTATGCAGCACTCGCCGAAACAAAATGGAACAAGCGGATTGTAAACCTGCGATGCGACAACGGAGGAGAGTACGCGAGTAAAGAATTCAAAGACTGGTGCAGAAGAAAAGGAATCAACATAAATTACACAGCTCCCTACTCGCCGCAACTAAACGGAAAGGCAGAGCGCCTAAACAGAACAATCGTGGAGAAGGTTAGAGCACTAATCTTTAATCAAAAAAGCAACAAAGAACTATGGGGAGAGGCCGTTTGGGTGGCAGCTTTTCTGCATAACAGGAGTCCAAACAAGACTAACAGTGAGACAGCATTCGAACTGTGGAATGGAGAAAAACCAGATCTAAAATCACTCAGAATATTCGGATGCAAAGCCTACGCAAAGGAAACGGGCCAACTGAGAAAGCTAGACAAACGAAGCAATAGCTACAAACTTGTAGGCTACACTCGCTACACAAAACGCATACAGATTGTGGGACCCAACTAGAAGGAAGATAACAATCTCACGTGACGTAATCTTTGACGAAACCTTCCAAGAAGAAAAGAGGGAAACGGAGAACTTAATGATAAGAAGCAACAAGAAAGATGAAGAGGATGAACTTGAAGACGAAGAGGAAGAAGACGAAGAATCAGAAGAGAATCAAGACGACACCGAGGACGAATACGTGGATCTAACAGACGAAAAGGAAGATACCGGCAAGGACAAAAAGGAAGACCGAGAAACGAGAGGAAGGCAAGAACCAATGCGAAAGTCCGAAAGAGAATCGAGACCGCCGCAAAGATACGCGAACCAGGTGTTTTTGACCTACGAGGAAGCAGTAAAAGGACAAGAGAGTAAACACTGGAAGAAAGCTATACAGGAGGAGAAGCACTCGCTGAGGAAAAACAAAACCTGGGAACTAGTCGACGAAAAGGACGTGAAAGACAAGAAGATTCTGACTAGCAAATGGGTTTTCAGAATCAAGGAGCAAGGGAAATACAAAGCGAGACTGGTCGTAAGAGGCTGTGAACAAGGAAAAGAAATAGACTACGAGGAAATTTACAGCCCGGTGATAAACAGCGCGCCGCTACGTATGATTCTCGCACTAACAGCAGTTGAAAACTATCACATTGTAAAATTCGACATACGTACAGCTTTCCTCTACGGAGAAATACAAGAAGAAGTATACATGCGACTGCCGGAAGGCTTCGAAGAAGCAGAAGGCAAAATCTGCAAACTGAAAAAAGGCGCTGTACGGGCTAAAACAGGCACCAAAAAAAAGGAACGAAAAATTCACGAAATCGCTGAAAGAACAAGGGCTAAAGCAGCTGACAACGGAATACTGCCTTTTTAAACACCAAGACGGACAGATGTTCCTCGGGGTCTACATAGACGACGGCATAATTCTTGGAAAGAGTAAGAAACAAATACTAAAGCTGGTGGAGAAACTCAGAGAAGAATTTGAATTAACAGTACAAGAGGACCCTAAAACATACTTGGAACTTGAAAAAACGCAAGAAAGACTGAAGCTAAGTCAAAAAAACTATTCCAACCAAGTTCTTGAAACGTACGGAATGAAAGATGCAAAGTCAGCGAACACGCCGATACAACCAGAAGGAAATTCAAAAGTCGAAAACGTACGGAAAACATTCCCGTATCGACAAGCGATAGGAAGCCTTCTGTATTTGACAACAAAAACAAGATCAGATCTCTGCTATGCTGTAAACTATAGCAGCAGATATACACAATCTCCGGAAGGTAAAGATATCTTAAATGTTAAAAGAATACTCAGATATTTGCAGGGAACCAAGGAGCTCGGGCTGGTGTACGGCGGAGAGAAGGACGCGGGAAAACTGGTGGCCTACTGCGACTCGGACTACGCTGGTGACCCTGAGACGAGAAAGAGCACCACGGGCTATATAATCAAATATTG